AGCCAGCAGCCCCCGGCCTCATGACAGCCCCCAGAGCCCCTCCACTTCTGGTATCTTCTAGATACCTTGCTAAGGGTTCCAGACCAAGTCACAGCCCGAGACCCTAATGCACACCACCCCCTGAAGCCCTCCAAACGGCAAACTCCTTCCTCCACCAACAGGTCACACAGAACATTCTTAGAGACCCACCAACACCAGAATCCATATAGGTCCCTTGGGAGACCTACAATCTCAGACAGTCTCTCCTGATCCACTGAGGAATCCAAAGCACTCCCCAAAATATTGGGTGGAAGACCTGGGACCCTCGAATCTTTGCTTTTCCCCATCCTGTGGATCTGAAATCCCTGACAAGCCCCGTGGGGATTACCCCAAAGGGAGACATCAATCTCCCAGAGACCCCAGGTTTCAGACAGCCCCCAGGGTTCCCAGAATTCTGACTGAGCTCTCCTGAGACCCCCAAATCACTCAGTCCTGGTGGCCCAAGCACCAAGGCTTCTAGAGTGTGCCACAGTCCCCACCTCAAGAGTCTGCAAATTTTCGGAATAGCCCCTGGGACCCCACACCCTGGGACAGAGGTGCCCACATCCCGAGATGCTCGCACATGCCTCAGGCACCCCCATGCCAGACCTGCTCCCACAGGCTCCACGGCTCCTATGAGGTGATGCGAGGCGGCCACATGAATGAGGCTTTCGTGGACTTCACAGGTGGCGTGGGCGAGGTGCTCTACCTGAGACAAGACATCCCAGGCCTCTTCTCGGCCCTGCGCCACGCCCTGGCCAAGGAGTCCCTCGTGGGTGCCACTGCCCTGGTGAGAGTCGGACTCCCATGGAGACCCCACCAGGACCAGTGTGGAGTGGGGGATTCCATGTCCTCCTCTCTTTCACTGGTGCCTTATTCTTTCACAAATCAAACACGGGCAAGTTGAAAGGATATTTATTTGCTCTCATAACGAATGAGCTTCAGGCACAGCTGGATCCAGGTGCTTAGCAGACATTGTGAATATGTTTTCTATTCCTGGTTCTATTTCTGGGTTAGCTTCACTCTCAGGCAGACTTTCCCTTCATGGGCCCAAAAGAAGCTCCCAGTTACCTCCCACCACCCCAGAGTTGAGAAGGAAAAGTACCTCTTCTGAGAATCTCAGCAGAAGTCCAAGATAGATATTCATGGGCTCAGCTTGGGTCATATGTTCATCTGTGACCCAATTACATGCTCATTCATTCACTGAGTCAGTCTAACTCAGTGATGGCGAACCTTTTGAGCTCGGCGTGTCAGCATTTTGAAAACCCTAACTTAACTCTGGTGCCATGTCACATATAGAAATTTTTTGATATTTGCAACCATAGTAAAACAAAGATTTATATTTTTGATATTTATTTTATATATTTAAATGCCATTCAACAAAGAAAAATCAACCAAAAAAAATGAGTTCGCGTGTCACCTCTGACACGCGTGTCATGGTTCGCCACCACTGGTCTAACTCATTCACTCATCCATTTACTTAACCCTGTTCTCAGTTGCCCACTTGCTCTGTCTTATGTTTCTCTGCCTCCTTCTGTCTCCCTGTCTATTCTTTTTTTAAAAAAATATATTTTATTGATTTTTTACAGAGAGGAAGGGAGAGAGAGATAGAGAGTTAGAAACATCGATGAGAGAGAAACATCGATCAGCTGCCTCCTGCACATCTCCTACTGGGGATGAGCCCGCAACCCAGGTACATGCCCTTGACCGGAATCGAACCTGGGACCCTTCAGTCCGCAGGCCGACGCTCTATCCACTGAGCCAAACCGTTTCGGCCCCCTGTCTATTCTTTATCTTTCTTGGTCTCTAGGCCGCTGTCTCTCTCCTCCTTCCATCTGTTTTGTCTCTTGTCTCCATCTCCCTCTCTCTGCTTCCTCACTCCCCTTCACTCACCAACTCCTGCCTCCCCTCGGAGCCCTGTGTTATTCAGCTGGGTGCTCTGAGAGGAGCACTCCCCAGCCCCCCACTGCAGCCCCAAGTCCCAGCCACATACCCGAGACCCTCTGATGGGACAAGGAGCAGAGAAGGCACAGATGAGAGGGAGGGTCCTGACCCTCAATGTGGCCTCACCATCCTATCCTCTGCCCAGAGTAACCAGGGCGAGTACCGTACAGAAGATGGGCTGGTGAAGGGACATGCATATTCAGTCACGGGCACGCACAAGGTGAGCAACCCCATGGGTGGGCTGGCAGAGGGTGTCCAGGCATCCACAGGCTGGTCAGCCAGTGACGCTGTTGCCCTCAGATGTCACTGGGCTTCACCAAGGTGCGGCTGCTGCGGCTACGGAACCCATGGGGCCGTGTGGAGTGGACCGGGCCCTGGAGCGACAGGTGGGATGGATCTGGGGTGGTGGGAGGGCTTGGCCCCACCTGCCCATCCCTCACACCCCGGTCTCCCCAGCTGCCCACGCTGGGACGTGCTGCCCCCGGAGTGGCGAGATGCCCTGCTGGTGAGGAAGGAGGACGGTGAGTTTTGGTGAGTAGGAGAGGCCCTGGCAGGGCGCAGGGAGGGGCCAGTCCTGCTTGAAGGGTCCTGGCAGAGGTTCATGGGGAGGGGTCATAAAGGGAGCAACTGTCCATGTGAGTGGTGATTTGGGGACGAGCTTCAAGCTGGGGGAGCTGAGGACGATTCGTAGTAACATTAGGGAGACTGGGAGGCATAGTAACCTCTGGGAGGTTGAGGGGGATGGAGAATATTCAGAGCAACTGAGGGGTCTTGGTGACGCCTGGGCATTTCTTGAGATTTGGCAACACTGAGGGGCTGAAGGACATCTGTTGGTAATTGAGAGGCTGAGGGTCTTGATATTTGTGGGCTGAAAACAATTGGACAATCTTTGAGGGGAGTTGGTGATCTTGGCTATTTGTGGGGCATTTCTGAGGACTCAGAGAAATTTGGGGGAGCTGGAGGGCTCAGGGATTTGGGGGTCATTCTGGAAACATACTGGTTGGTCGTCTGCAAGGTACTTGGCAATACTTGCGGAATCTGGGGGCCTTGTGATCTGGGGGTGGGCAGGTATGACTTCGGGCCACTTTCCAGGATGGAGCTGCAGGACTTCCTCCGCCACTTCAACACCGTCCAGATCTGCTCGCTGAGCCCGGAGGTGCTGGGCCCCAGCCCAGCGGGAGGCGGCTGGCACACCCACATCTTCCAAGGCCGCTGGGTGCGAGGCTTCAACTCTGGCGGGAGCCAGCCTGCTGCCGGTGAGGCCTGGAGGAGACCTGAGAGGCAAGCGAGAGGGCTGCCGCAGCGGGTAACCCCATTTCTTCCTCCCCCACTAGAGACCTTCTGGACCAACCCCCAGTTCCGGCTGACGCTGCTGGAGCCTGATGAGGAGGACGATGAGGACGAGGATGGGCCCTGGGGGGGCTGGGGGGCCGCAGGGGCTCGGGGCCCTGCTCGCGGGGGCCGCGTCCCCAAGTGCACTGTCCTCCTGTCACTCATCCAGCGCAACCGGCGGTGCCTGAGGGCCCAGGGCCTCACTTACCTCACTGTGGGCTTCCACGTGTTCCAGGTGGGACCTCTGGGCTGAAGAGAGGCAGGGCTGAGGGGGTGTCCGAGAAGGCCAAGAGGGGCTGGGAGGCTGAGGGTGGGGCAGAGAGAGACACACAGAGAGACAGAGCTGGGGCTCACGCATGCTAAGCAAGGGGGGGGGCAGGGAGAGACTGAGGGGCTAGGGAGGGCACAGAGAGTCTGGGTCAGGAAGGAGTCAGAGAAGGGGGGGGCGGGCTGAGGATCAGGGAGGTGACAAGGAGCAAAGAGGGCACAGATGAGAGGGAGGGACCCAGGAGGCGGCAGAGAGAGGCTTGGCCAGGGGCTGAGGGCCAGGGGCTTCATGAGAGTAGAACGGGAAGAAAAGAGGGAGGGGTATGACGGAGGCAGGGAGGGAACGCTGGGCGTCCTCCCCCGCCCGCCCTGACTCCCCGGCTCTTACTTCTTACAGATCCCAGAGGAGGTGAGTCTCCGATGCGGCCCGATCCCAGACTCTCTCTAAACTAGCCCCAAGGCCTCGGACAACCTGCAGGGAAGGCCAGGGGCACCGTGGCGTGATGCGGGGACGGGCGGGTTTCACGGGGCGTT